ATTATATTTTTTAAAGGTATATATGAGATTGGCAACACCCTTTTTTAGTCTGTTGTGTTATATAACCTAACTGCCTTGTTTACATGCATTTTTGTATAAGCTAATAATTTTTTTCTGAACTTATTCCATGCCCTTGATACCATGTACTCTCTGGTGTCTACTCTTGCTCTTGTTATTTCCATGTCTTTAAGTCTTTCAGTTTCTACCATAGAGTGAGGAAATTTGATATATATTAAGAAGAGACGTATAGTGGGACCAGCAGTTAGTGTAATGACTATGTCGCTGGACTCCCATGTAGTCAACCACGGTTTGAGTCCTAGACCCGGTGGCTTAAACTCATGCCGGGTGCGTGTGTATGCATGCCCAAGATCCCAAGAGGAGAGTGGAGGAGAAGGGATTGTGGCGTGGCTATCCCCTCTGGGGGGTGATTTCTCGCTTTCTATCTGTCTATCTCTCTCTCTGTCTGGCTGGCGAGCACACACGCCCTATAGCAAAAACCTCTCCAAAAAAAGAAAAGAAAAAAAATAATAAAGAAGAGACATATAGTATTTATCTTTCATAGCCTGCCTAATTTCACTTGGCATTATATCTTCTAGATTCATCCCACATTGTGTCAAAAGATAGGATATTATTGTTCATTCTGCCTGAGTAGTATTACACTGTATATAGTGCCATATTGTATTAATCAGTTCATCAGTTGGTGGGCACTCATAATGTCTTATCTATTGTGAAAAATTCTCCAATAAATGTGGATGTGCAAATAATTCTCCAACCAAGATATTTCCTGTCCTTTGTGTAAATACCCAATAGTGGGTTTACTGGTCATATTCTAGGTCAAAATTTACTTTTCGACTTGAGGAACCTCTATATTGTTCTACAACATGGGTATACTAATTTCCATTCCCACCAACAGTGCAGAAGGGTACCTTTTCTCCCCAATCTAGCTGGTGCTTGTTATTCTTTTTTTTTTTTCTTTTTTCTTTATTATAGTCATTCTGATTGGGCTCAGGTGATATACCATTGTAGTTTTAATTTGGATTTCCTTTTTGATAATAGATGTACATTTTTCATATGTTTTTTAGTCATTTTAAGATTTTTCTTTGATAGTTGTCTGCTTGGATTGATTTTCCATTTTTAAATTGGGGTATTCATTTGTTTATGGTGGGTCAGTTGTTTGAATTCTTCATATATTCTTGTTATCAATCCCTTGTCAGAGGTAGTATTTGAAAATATCCTCTCCCATCCTGTAGTTTGTTTCTTTAACTTTATCATTTCCTTTTTTGGGCTGAAGATTTTAGCTTTACATAATTGCATTTACCAATATTGTTATTGTTACTTGTGCTTTAGGGTCTTATAAGAAATCTTTGCCTGCTCTGATATCTTCAAGTGTTTCCCTATGTTTCCAACAGAGTTCTATAGTTGTGGGCTTTATGTCCAGGCCTTTAATCCATTTAGAGTTTTATTTTTGTAAACGGTGAGAGAGAGAGGTCTAGTTTCATTCTTTTTTCGGATGGACATTCAATTTTCCCAGCACTTGAAACGACTATCTTTTTTCCCCTGCTTTGTCTTGGGATTGTTGTCAAAAATCTCACTCCATGTCTTAGCAATTGTGAATAATGCTGCAACCTAAGTGCCTAAGAACTGATGACTGAATTGAAAAAAAAAAGTGAAACATGTACACTATGGAATATTAGTCAACCATAAATAACAATGAAACCCTGTCATTTGATGTAAAGTAGGTAATTATAGATTTAATGCTAAGCTGGAATATGAAAGACAAATACTGTGTTGTGTATTCCTGTTCCATATATCCTGAATATCTGCACTCAGTGGTAGAAATGGAGTGATCTGAAGATATAATAGTGTGGAGAACTCATGGAGATACCAGAGACCATATGGGAGGGAAGTAGATAATAAAGGGCGAGTGAGAGGGGCTCGGGGGGAAACAAAACTTAAGAATATAAAGTTCTCTGTTGAAAATGATGTAATATCTTTCATTTGAGAGTTCAATATGCATACTTTGAAAAAATTATATTGTTTGCTATAGAGAGGTACAATGTTTAAATGTGAAGAAAATATAAAAAATGCAGTTGATTGTATGTTTTTGGATTTATGTCTGGATTCTCTGTTGTTCTATTGGTCTATATGTCTATTTTTGGCTGATGCCATGCTGTTTAATTATTATGATTTGATGTATATTTTGAAATAGTGAAATGCCTCTAACTTTATTCCTTTTGTACTGTATTGTCTTGGCAATACAGGGCTTTTTGTGATTCCAAACAGATTTTATGATTTTTTTTATTATGATCAAGTAGGATTCATCTCAGTGTTGTGAAGAAGGTTTAATATTGGGAACCAGCAGTTAGCGTAATGGCTATGTCGCTGGACTCCCACGTAGTCCACCGTGGTTCGTGTCCCGGACCCGGTGGCTTAACTCTCACGCCGGGCGCGTGTGTGTGCATGCCCAAGATCCCGAGAGGAGAATGGAGGAGAAGGGATTGCGGTGTGACCATCCCCCCTGGGGGGTGATTTCTCACTTTCTGTCTCTATGTCTCTCTCTGTCTGTCTGGCGAGCGCACGCGCCCTACAGTGAAAATCTCTCTCTCAAAAAAAAAGAAGGTTTAATATTCATCAAACAATAAATGTTATACATCATATAAACAGAAGAAAAGATTAAAAAATAATATGACTATATCAATTGACACAGAAAAAAACGTAATTTTTTTTCTGATTAAGACTGATAATTTAAAGGATCAGAAGACCCATTTCAGGTTTTTTTGTTTTAGTGGTTTTTTTTTTTTCTCTTTAAACAGAGATATTTTTGGTATAGGATGCATGTGCCCACCAGAGACAGAAACTCAGAAAGTGAGAAATCATCCCTCAGGGGGAGTGACCATGCCATGATCCCTTCTACTCCATTCTCTTCTCAGGATTTTGGGCATGCATGCACACATGCCCAGTATGAGCTTCAAGTTATCAGGTCCAGGACTCGAACCTCCATCATCTACATGGAAGAAAAGCATCATAAACATTATGCTATCTGCTATACCCACAGCTAACATCATACTAAATGGGGAATAGTTGAAAACTTTCCAATTACAAATGAAAAAAATTAATTGTTCTTATTTCCAGATGACATAAAATCTATATCTATGTCTTTATCTATATAGAGATATATAAAAAGGATACACCAAAAACTCTTAAAAGTGATAAACTTATTCAGTAAAGTCACAGGATACAAATTCAACATACAAAAATCTGTAGTATTTTTGTCCAATAATAATGAATGAATTAGGAAATAAATAATTAAAACAATCCACTTACAATAGCCAAAAAACAATAAAATATTAAAGAATAAATCTAACCAAGGAGGTGCATAATCTCTTCAATGTCTTCTAAATAAGTCCCAAAGTAAAGCTTCTATATAGATACAGTGAGAGTTAACATTTTTGGGGTGTTTGGAAGATTTTTAGCTCATAAATGCCCTCTTAAAATTATCTTTAGTGTAGGGACAACAGATGGTGTACAGATTAAGGCACTGGATCTCACATGGTCAGCTTGTAGTTTGTGTCCCAGTCCCGGTGGCTTGAAGATAACCCAAGGCATGTGTGCATGGGTGCCCAAAATCCTGAAAGAATATTGGAAGAGAAGGAATTACAGTGTGGCCATCACCCTGAGAGGTGATTTCTGACTTTCTCTTTCTGTCTCTTTGATGAGCACATGTGCCCTATAGCAAAAACTAATAAGAAAAGAAAAATAAAATGTTTAGTGTGGTAAAATATTTTACCGAAAAGGATTATGGAACCTAAAGAATTTTTTTCCTGTCTTTCTTGTATTTTGTCTTCTCTTCTTTCCTTTTTTTTTTTTTTTTGCTTTTTCTTTCTTTTTTTATGACCTATTCATTTATTTTCCCATAAAGCTCATATTCATTGACTTTATATCAAATGTCCAGGTTCCATGTTTTTATGACTGAATAGTGTTCCATAGAGCACAGGAGCCACATTTTTGTAATCCACTTGTCTATTTTTAGATATTTGAGTTAATTCTATGTTCTAGTAATTGTAACTACTGCTACAAAAATATGGATATGCAAATATTTTTCTGACTGAAGGTTTTACCATACTCTGAGTAGATACCAAAGAGTGAAAATACTGGATTATATAGTAGTTCTATTTCTATATTTCTGAGGAATCTCTATATTATTATCCATAGCAGTTGCACTAATTATAATCCCATCAATAGTGTAGAAGAGTTTACACCATCACCTTTACACCATAGCCTCGCCAGCACTTATCATTCTCTATTTTTTTTTTAAAATTTTAGCCATTCTGACTGGGGTTTTGTGTTATCTCATTGTGATTTTGATGAGCATTTCCCTCATTATTAGAGATGTTAAGCATTTTTTTATGCTTTTTGGCTATTTGTATGTCTTACTTGGAAAATTGTATGTTCAGCTCATTTGCCCATCTTTTACTTGGACTGAATTATTTTAATGGATTAGGTGCTTGAATTCCCTGTATATTCTGGTTATCAGTCCCTTATCTGAGGCATAGTTTGCAGATATATATTTCCCACTCTGAGGGTTATCTACTCACTATAATTACTGTTTTTGTTTTTGTTTGTGCTGAACAGAAGCCTTTTAGCCAAATACAGTCTCATTTGTCTATTTTTGCTACTATGGCCTGTGCTTTGGGGTCTGGGTTCTACAGTTTTGTGTTTAGATCCTTGGTGCATTTTTGAGAACTGATTTTTGTTAATGTTGAAAGACAGGGGCCTAGTTTAATTCTTCTGCAGGTGAATATGCAAATTTTGTAAGCACCCTTTGCTAAAGAGATTTTTCTTTTTCCACTGGATTATCTTGTGCCCTTTGTCAAAGATTAGTTGACTGTGTGTCTTGAGGTCTTTTGGGGGTTTTCAATTCTGTTCCAGTGATCTACCTGCCTGTTTTTGCACCAAAATCATGCTGTTTTGATTATCACTGTTTTGTAATATGTTTTCAGATCAGGAAATGTGATGCTTCCTACGTTAGTACCCTTGCATTGTATTGCTTTGGCTATATGGGGCCTTTTATAATTCTGGTAAATTTTATGATTGTTTTTACTATTCCTGTAAGAAATATTTCTGGTAGTTTGATTGTATTGCATTGAATTTGTAGATTAATCTGGGTAGGATTGTCACCTTGAATATATTAATTCTTCTGATCAAAAAACATGAGATTTTTTTTCCCACTTTTTTTGTGTCATGTCTAATTTTCTTTTTAAAGTGTTTATAGTTTTCCTTGTAGAGGTCTTTCACTTCTTTGGTTAGGTTTATTCCTATTTATCTTATTTTTTTTTTGCTATTGCAAATTAGATTGCTTTCTTCAATTCTATTTCAGTTTTTTAATTGCTAGTGTCTAAAATGATACATATTTTTGTATGTTGATTTTATATCCTACTACTTTACCACATTCATTTATCACTCACAGGAATATTTTGGTGTGTGTGTCTGTGGACACTTGGATTTTCTATATATAGAATTTTATCATCTTCAAATAGAGATAATTTACTTTTTCTTTTCTACTTGAATGCCTTTTATTTCATTTCTTGTCTGATTGCATTAGCTAGAACTTCTAATACTCTGTTGAAAAGAAATGGAGAGTGTAGGTAGCTTTATCTTATTACAGTTTTTAGATATGAGTTGCAACAGATGGCTCTTATTGTGTTGAGGAATGTCCCTTCTATGCCAATTTTGCTGAGAATCTTAATCACCCTCCAGGGGGCATGGCCTCACTGCAATCCCTTCTCCATTCTCCTCTTGGGATTTTGGGCATGCAGGCACATATTCTCAGCATGAGATTTTGGTTACAGGGTCTGGGACTCAAACTGTAGACAACTACATAGGAGTCCAGTAACACAACCAATTATGTCATTTGCTGGTCTCAGGTGTATAATCTTTTTAACGTGTTGTTGGATATGATTTACTTGTATCTTGTTGAGAATTTTTGCATTTGTATTATTCAGGGTTATTGAGTCGTAGTATTCTTTGTTGTTGTTGTTGTTGTTATGTCCTTGTCTCTTTGGAAACAGGATGATGAAGGTTTCTTAAAATGAATTATGAAGTATTTCTTTCTATTGAATTGTTAGAAATAGTTTGAAGAGAATTAGGGTTAGTTATGGTTTAACAGCTTTAAAAAATTCAGAAATGAAGCCATTAGGACCTGGGCTTTTCTTTTTAAGGAGATTATTTATTACTGATTCAATCTCATTGCTTGACATTGGTCTATTGAGGCATTCTATTTCTTCCTGTTCCAATCTTGGTAAATTACATATGTCCAAAACTTTGTCCATCTCTTCTAGTTTTTTTGTTGTTGTTGTTGGCATATAATCACTCATACTATACTCTGTTGATGTTTCATATTTCCGTTATATCCGTTGTAATAATGTTGTTTCCTTGCTGATTTGATTTATATGCTTTATTTCTCCATTCTTCTTGATTAATCTAGGTCATAGTGTGTCAATTTTATCTTCTAAAAGAACCAACTTTTAGTTTCATTTATTTTCTGAATAGATCTTTTAGTCTCTATTACGTTTCTTTTTCTCAAATCTTTATTATTTCCTTTCTCCTAGTATTTTTGTTGTTGTTTTTCCAGTTTCCTGAGTTGTGTTGTTAGATTATTTATTTGCCACCTCTCTGTATTTTAGTTTTTTTTTTTTCTTGTTGGCTCTGATTGTTGTGAAATTTTCTCTTGTGACTGCTTTTGCTATGTTCCATAGGTTATAAAAACTTGGTTTATTTTTAAAATTATTGTTGCTTTCTATTAACTCAGTCATAATTATTTCTGTCATTGTAGTTATTCAGAAGTAGGTTGTTTAGTTTGCATATGTTTGTGTATTTTCAAGAGCTCTCTCTGTAGAGATTCAGGTTTGATTACATTACAGTTGGAAAAGATGCTGTATATAGCTTCTATATATTTGAATTTGTAAAGCAAAAATATTCTATGTAGGTGTGAGAAAATTTTATATTTTGTGGTTGTTGGATGAAATGTTCTATAGATGTCTATCAAGTGTATTTCATTTATGTTTTCATTTAGATCTAGTATCTCTTTGTTTATCCTTTGTCTGGTTGATATGTAGTGAGACAGTGAGGTGTTGAGATCCCCAACAATTATTGTGTTGTACCCTATCCGTAGAAGGTTACATATTAGATCTTGCATACCAACAACTGTTTGCCCATTTTGTTCCCATACCCTAACATGGCTATCTGCTTCTGAAAACTTGCTTGCTCTTCCCATGAGAAAATAGCTCGTGCTAGCCATACAGAAAACTGTATCCGGAATGACATCCTGTACCTGCTACTGTCTTTGTTAACTAGCCCCAAACCCTTTTGTTTAGCAATGTAACTGCTTGCATGAAAACCACACTCCCCTAGAAATAATTAACCTGCTTGATTCAGCTTCTGTAACTGCTTATATAGAAACCCCTGCTAACTGACCCCCTATAAAAAGACTACTCAAATTTCAGTCAAGGATATAGTTCTGATTCTTGACCCCTGAGCCTCAGGCAATAGTTGCTGGTCAACTAATAAAGACTCTCTTTAAACTTAATCTGGCTTTGGTGGTCATTTATTTAGTGGCACTCTACAACATATCTCTTCCTTGAGATATAACAGTCTCTCTTTCATGTACTAGTGTTGGGTACATAAATATTTAAAAGTGTTAACAAGTGAACTACTCATTGATCATTTCCACTAACCAGTTATCTCCCTTGCCTTCTAGGAAGTGCAGGCTTTTGATAACTGGAGAGGTCAGCGATATTTAGGATATAATGGGAATACCTCAGTCCAAGTCATTCAAGCCCATTATGCTGGACTGTATGTTGACTAATTTAAAAAAAGGCTTTTCTGGTGATTATGGATTTAAAATAAAACCAGAAAAGTTGAGAGCCCTTCTTTCAAGGTTGTATGGCTGCCACAAGAAACCTTACGTCTCCCTACCATGTGGACTATGTACAATGTTGCTACTGGAACCTTTGGAGACCCTGAGCAGTTTCTCAATGTGGACTTCTGGTTACAGATAGCTCAAGTCACTCCATCCTGGGAGTGAATCTACATTAGAGGGGAAAACCAATGCATTATTTTGGCTGTCCATTTTATGCCCCCAGTACCAAACACTGACCAAAAGAAAACCACAGCTCCAATCCAGCAGGGTCCCCCAGAAGAGGAGCCATTAGCAGTTCCACTCCCATATGTCTTGGCTGAGCCAGTTTCAAAACCTCTGTCTGCATCTGTTTTCTCAAGGCCTGAAGAGCAGCCCCATGAGCCAGCACCAGCTCTACCAGCTCAGGGGGGAGGCTGCTAGCTGTCTTGTATCCTGAACCCAGATTCTGCTTCCCCCAGATCCTACTGTTACCCAGGAAGCCACAGCAGACTGGGGCAACCTTACTCTTCAGAAACTTTTTCAGGAGACCCAAATATTCCCCCACCCCAGATAGGTGTAGATGGGACTATTACTGAAGGAGAGTAACTCTCTACTATCAGCCCTTCACCACCACCAGTTTGCTTAATTGGAAACACCACACCCCTCTACTTGAAATAGACCCAGGTAATGATAGATCTCATGGAGTCTATACTACAAACCCACCAGCCCACCTGGGATGAGTGTCGACAACTACTACTCACCCTACTTAACACAGAGGAGTGTTGCAAGGTCCTTGTGGCAGCAAAGAAATGGCTACAAGTGCATGCTCCAATGATGTGGTAGATCCCGAGGCTTGGGCCAGAACTGTTTTTCTGAATAAAAAGCCTGACTGGGATTTCAATACTGAGGGTGGCCACACCCATGTCAACATGTATCTAGAGTAACTCCTACAGGAAATGAAATCCAATACAAAGAAACCTACTAACATAGCAAAAACTACAGAAGTAATTCAGAAGACAGATGAATCACCAGGGCAGTTTTATGAGAGCCTCTGCAATGCATATTGGATCTATACTATATTTGATGTGGAGATTTCCGAAAGGCACCAAATGATTAATGCCATCATTGTCACTTAATCGGTCCCTGGCATTCATACAAAAACTCCAAAAGCAAGAAGTCTTTGCTGGGATGAATGTCACCCAGCTCCTAGAGATTGTGAATTTAATCTTCATGAACCAAGACTAAGAGGAAACAAAGGAAGAAGATTGGTGGATGAAGCAAAAGGCCACCCTGTTGGCTGCTGCCCTCAGGCAACCAGATGTCCCACTTGGTCCAACAGGGGGGCCCAAAACTGGCCATTCCATGCTTAAACCAATGCAGTGCACATACTACAGAGGATGAACACTGGGAAGACAAATATCCCAAGAAGAAGGCAAACCAAGGAAGTACAACCAGAAGCCCACTGGGAGCCCCCAAGTATTTCCACCCAGAGCCCTAAGAGACCTCCTAACCATAATGGAATAAAAATAGAACCAACTAGATTCCATGATCCTAGGACCCTGAGAGCTCCTGATCAACATCAAATTAGGGGGCCAAGAGGGAACCAGCAGTTGGCATAATGGCTATGTCGCTGGACTCCCATGTAGTAGACCATGGTTCGAGTCCCAGACCCAGTGGCTTAAACTCACGCCAGGCGCATGTGGGTGCATGTCCAAGATCCCAAGGGAAGAACACAGGATAAGGGATTGCAGTGTGGGCATCACCCCTGGGGAGTGATTTCTCACTTTCTATCTCTTTATCTCTCTCTGTTTTTCTTGTCTCTATGTCTCTCTCTGTCTGTCTGGCGGTGGAGTAGCCCTAAAGCAAAAAAACTCTCCAAAAAAAAAAAAAAGTAAAAAAAAAAAAAGAGTAGGGAGCCAACTGATAACATTTATGGTAGATACTGGTGGTGAACACATTGTTGTAACCCAGCCTCTGGCTTTCCCATCAGGCCGAAAAACTTCTATGATGGGTTCCATTGGAAATACCAGGACAAGCCCTTCTTGTAGGCAAGAAACTGCCAATTAGGGAGACATTTGATTACATATGCTTGATTGCCCAGTCCCATTGCAGGAAAGGGACCTATTGACTAAACTTGGAGTACAATTCAGCTTTGAGTAGTCAGGCTCAGTTGCTTTAACCATCAGCCTTGCCAAAGTCCTAACTGTGATAATGCCCCAAGAGGAGGAATGGTGAACACTCACCCCTGAGGCACCCAGTGGAGATGATAAAGTTCTTTCTTCACTTGTTAGAGATTTTCCTGCAGTCTGGGCTGAAGGGAGCCTGCCAGAGATGACAATTAACCACCCACCTGTAGTGGTCAAACTGACACCTCTGGTACAACCCATTGGCCTTTGATGTACCCAATAAACTGAGATGCTAGACTGACCATACAGAAGTATATTGACCAGCTCAGGGAAGCTGGAATCCTGGCCGAATGTCAGTCTTCCTGGAACACTCCCTTCTTCTCTGTGAGGAAGGGAGCCTCTGAAGACTTCCTTGGGGAAGTGCCTTAACCTCAATCACTGTTTCTTGAGAGGTAATGTCATAGCCAGCATATCAAGTACTATCTTTCATGTAGGTCCTACCATCACTGAAGAGAGTGAGATTGACAGTCATTAGCAGTATGTATATAAGATCAGGATGTCAAGAAAAAACTTCATCAAGGGCCTATTTCCAATTGTGGTCAGGAGGTTCCAAGGTAGCTGGGAGGAAGCTACCTTGTTGAGGTAGCTTCCTTGTTGAAGGTTAAGGTTCTGCAGAATTTAGAGTCTAATTTGGGGATTTCAAGTTAATAGGCCCTGGGAATGGGCCATCCTAGAGCTGGCTAGCCATTTGCATCCCCTTGTGTTTATCAGTGTAGTCACTTAATGAGGGACCCAGGCATTAATAACTTGGCCTAAATTTAACTTGTCTGCCTCTTTAATTGATTCAACAGTGGCAGCAAGAACTTGTAGGCAATGGATTCATCCACATGCCAACATGTTTAATCTTTTAGACAGGTAGGTAATAGGTCTCTCCCAAGGCCCAGTGGACTGAGTCAGAACTCATAGTGCTGTCTTACTTTTTTCATATATGATGTCTGGGAGTCCTAAAGCTGAGGGTTTCCCAAGACTTGACCTATCTTGGAAAGCCTACTCTTGGAGGGGTCCCCATTCAAAGGAGCCTCCCTCTGGGCCTTTTAATAATTCTTAAAGTGGCTTAGACTTTTCAGCAAAGCCTGGGATTCAAATTCTACAGAATACTGTGTCTCCCAAGAATTTGCATAGTTGCTTCTGGGTGGTGGGCTGAGGCAATCCACACATCACCTGCTTTTATTCATGCCCAAGAGCATGATGTCCTTTAGTCACAGTGAATTCTAAGAATTGTACCTGGGTATGGCAGATTTGGGCCTTTTACCTTGAGAGTTTGTACCCAGCCTGGGATAGAAGCTTGAGCAGCTCTTGAGAACACTTCCAGCAATTTTCTTGGGTTGCTCCAGTGAGCAGAAGGTCATTGACATACTAAAGCAGAATGCACCCAGTCTTTTGGCTTGGAAAAATTTTCCAAGTCAGCAGCATGTGCTTATCCAAACAAAACTGAAGAATTCTTGAAGCCCTGAGAGATCCAGGACCAGGAGTACTGAGTTTTCTTTTGGGAGTCTGGATCTTCTCATTCAAAAGCAAATATCAGTTTGCTGATGGCTGCTAGTCACAGGCAAAAGAAAGCATCCTTGAGATCAAGAAAAGTGAACCTTTCTGAATCTGCTGGGAGAGCACTCAGCAAAGCATATGGGTTTTGTATGGTGGGATGTAAGGTCACCAAGGTGGCATTCACAGCTCACAAATCCTGTAGTGTCTGATAGTCTCCAGAGGAAGGATTGTTCCAGGGGGACTGGCATTTGACCAGGATCCCAGCTCTCTGGACTGGTTGATGTGCTTCTTTTTGGCCAGTCTAGCATGTTGGCTTATTGTGTACTGTCAAAAGTGCACAGGCTACACTTGAGGTGTCATTTTGACCACTATAAGCAAGTGATTGATTGCCATTCCTGGTAAGCTCCTCTCATCCCAGACTGCAGAAAAATATATAAGAAGTGAAGAAAGTACTTCATCATTTTCGTGTGGTGCCTCAGGGGCAACCATTTGCCATTCTTCCTCCTGGTGCACTGCCACAGTTAGGATTTTGTCAAGGCTAATGGTTAAAGCAGCTGAGCCTGATAAGTCAAAGCTGATTTTCACTCTAAGTTTAGTCAATAGGCTCCATCCCAGCAATGGGACTGGGCAATTTGGCAGGTACTAGAACTCATGAGTAACCAAGTGTTCCACTAACTAGCAGCTTCTTGCCTGTAAGAAAGGCTGGTTCTGGTGTTTCCAGTTGCTCCCAGTAGCTTTTCAGTCTGAAAGGGGAACCAGGGACTGAGTTACAACAGAATGTTCAGTGCCGGTATCTACCAAAAATGTCATTGGTTGGCCCCCTACCTTGATGTGACCAGGGGCTCCCAGGGGTCCAGGATCATGGATCCCAGTATGTCCTATTGTGATTCTATCATGGCTAGGAAGTCTCTCAGGGGCTCTGGGTGGAAAGCCTTGGGGGCTTCCAGTGAATTTCGGGTTATTTTTTGATTTTCCTTCCACTTGGGGTACTTGTCCTTCCAGTACCCATCCTCTTTGCAGTAAGCACATTGGAATGGTCTAAGCCTGGGGTGCCTGATTTTTGGCCCCCATCTTGGGCCAGAATAGGTATCTGGTTTTCTGAGGGCAGCAGCCAGCAGGGCTGCTTTCTACTTCATCTGCCAGTGTGCTTTCTTTTTTCTCCTCTAGGTCTCGGTTCATGAAGACTCAATCAGCAATCTCTAGGAGTTGGGTGGCATTCATTCCAGCAAAGCCTTCCTGATTTTGGCATTTTCTACAGATATCAGGGGCTGATTGGCAACAAACGCAGCATTAATTATCTGTTGGCTTTACGAGCTCTCCAAATCAAACAGAGTATAGATCCAGTATGCTTTGCAGAGCCTCTCATAAATCAGCCCTGGCAGCTCGTTTGTCTTTTTAATTATTTCTTTAGTTTTTGCCATATTTGTAGGTTTCTTTCCACCTTCTTTCATCCCTTGCTGGAGTGCCTCTTGATACTTGCTCAGATTGGCACAGCCATCCTCAGTATGGAAATCCCAGTTAGGCTTTTCATTAAGAAAGGCAATTCTGGCCCATGCCTCAGAATCTACCTCGACATTGGGGGCATGCTCTTGGAACTATGCCATTGCTGCTACAAGGACCCTGTGGTGCTCCTCCATGTTGAGTAGGGTGAGGATCAGTTGTCGGCAGTCATCCCAAATGGACTCATGGGTTTGGAGTATAGACTCCATGAGATCTATCATTGTCTATGACTGTTTCAAGAAAGGGGGTGTGTGGTGTTTCCAATTAAGCAAATTGGTGGTGGTAAAGGGCTGGTAGTAGAGGGTTACTCTGCCTTCCATAATAGCCCCATCTGTGCCTATCTGGGGAGGCTCTCAGGTGTCTCAGAGGGGCATCTGAAGTGAAGTTTGCCCAGGGCTTCCATGGCTAACCAAGTGACAGGAGGTGAGGCAGAATCTGGATGTAGAATTCAATATGGTTGGCAGACTCCCTTCTGAGTGGGCAGAACTGTCGCTGGGAACTTGGGCTGCTCTTCAGGCTCTGGGGACAAAGATAGATCTAATTTACTAGTTTTAAAACTAAAAAGGGGGACTCTAGGGCTCCTCTCTACCTGTGCTGCCAAATCATTTTCTTTAACCATATCTAAATAGAATAATTTAAATCTGACTTTTGATTAAAAATTATGTCTATGGAATACTACTTGGCAGTACAAAAACTTCCCCAAGCAAAAGTCACTTTTAAGATGTCGCCAGATGGGACCAGCAGTTAGCGTAATGGCTATATCACTGGACTCCCACGTAGTCGACTGTGGTTTGAGTCCTGGACCCAGTGACTTAAACTCATGCCGGGCGTGTGTGTGCGTGCGGGCCCAAGATCTTGAGAGGAAAATGGACAAGAAGGGATTGTGGCATGGCCATCCCCTCTGGGGGGGTGATTTCTCACTTTCTATCTCTCTATCTCTCTCTGTCTGTCTGGTGAGCGCACGCACCCTAGAGCAAAAACCTTTCCAAAAATAAAAAAATAAAAAAGATGTCGCCAGATTGGATCTGGCAAGGTCTAACTCCTTTAATAACCTGGGGAAGAGTGTTTCTCTCTGTGCTTACTCCTACAGCTCTGGTTTGGATCCCTTCTCTGTGAGTCAATCTGCACACCATAAGATGGCATCAAACACTGCAAAGCTCGATACCAAGATTACACCTGAAGATTCAGGAAAAGAAGAAGACCAAGAAAAGAAAGAAAAGGCCAGCCACAGTGAGTCCTAACACCTGCAGTGACATCAAAGCATTAACAAATGATGCTCAGGAACTGCTGAAAGAACAAAATAAAGAATCAACTCCTGAGAACTTGTTTATAGCTGCCTGTGTCAAATTGACTGCTAACTCAATGACAGTGTGTTATGCTTACTGTTGTTAAGTCAACCCTCTTTAGCACTTGCTAATCATGAACCCGTGCAAGGTGAATTATGACAGTGCATTGGACATAATATGTGGATGAAATTGGCTCAAATGTTAAATTTGACTACCTTTTGTTTACAACATAGTGAGTATGTTCAATATATACTAGGGTCCTATTTACAACCAGTGTGTAAAACCCTTGAAGAGATTCGACAGTTGACTATTTCCCAAAATATGAACAAAAACATTATATATATATATAAATAACTGGGGATCTATGTCTAAAACCACCTAAAGGTCACAATGATACTTGTATGCAAGTACAAGATTGTGTATCCAACTCTCTACACTTGCCACCAGGATCTCATTCCTACAAAAACAAAAAAAAAACTGTTACAATTATTTCTGTGAGAAATCTTTATATTTTGTGCTATCCTATTTACCTACTGTGGTATTCAACTGATATCTATGTGTATCTCCTGCTGCCAAAAGCTCTCTTAGGCAAGCCCAGTTCATGTGGGCTTTAAAACAAAAACGGGGGAAATGTAGGGACATGTTTTGAGAAAAGCTTTGTGGATGTGGGGACATGCTCTGAACAGACATCACATGTCTCTTTAAGGAGATAGCAGAAGTCTTGCAGCATTTCCTTTCCTTGACCCTTCCTGCAGGCAGAGCATTCTGTGGAATTTACAGGGGCTGCTCTGGGGACACAGCTGCAGAGCTCAGGCCACATCCTGTTACCACTACATCAAGACTAACCCCTGCTCTTCTTTGTGTAATCTCTATAGCTTAATCATCACCCTCTGATGTATGCAAAAGGATGTGTTTCCCACATCTACAAATGGGTTTTGCTTCACTAGATAAGTAATTATGGAAAACTGCTTTCACCATAACTAAGAGATTCATGTGGCACCAGCATATCTAAAGCTTCAAGGATGAGAAGACTGATATCACTTGCTTTCTGTCTCTGTAAACTATCAACTCTATCTGTGGAATGTCACAAAATACACATATGTAGTGTTGCTTTTCCCAATAAATCAAGATGCTCAGCTTGTCTGGGTGGCACAGGCTCAGCAGGCTTAGGCTGCCTGTGTCCACCATACTCTGTCTCTGTATCTCTTTCCTTTTGTTTCCTCTTAGGTTAAGTTAACCTTGCTGGTAGATGCCAACAGAGGGCTGTTTCTCCCATATCCGTCCTTATATAGGTAACCTCAGGTGGTTGAATGTGCTTTGCATAGCACGTGGGCTGGAGTCTGCAAGTTCCAAAGACAATCCTGGGAGATGGAGGTGTACTCACAAGAAGAGGCCTGTGGAGACCAGGTTAAATATCCTGGTGAGTTGGCAGAGGCCAGTTGGTATCTTGAGTGCCACAGTTTCCAAGGATATCCATGGGAGGTGGGGGAGTACTCATGAGAAGAAGCCTGCTGAGAACAACTCTTCTTTTTCCTTATCACCAAGTCTCCCGAGAGTTTCTTTAATTTACACTCATCTTCATCATCCCCAGGTTTTATAGAGGATGAGATTTTAAGGTCTACACTTTTCATTTCCTGAACTTAATGCTCTGATTTACACAATATTAGTCCTCTTTCCTTAATAATTTTAAAATTAGGGTGATATACTCTTTCTGGATGAATCTGGTTGTGCTCCATTTCTGTTGGAGCCTTCTCTTCTCTACAGTCTCTTCAGACTTCTTTTACTTTCATTACAGGCTTGAGTCATACCTACAGAAATAGCTCTTCTAGAATTTGATGTTTATTTCTCTATTTAGAGATAATTTGAAGTGAAGTGTTTTCAGTGTCTTAATTGTAATGAATGTAATTGTTATGTGTGATATTTTATAACTGTGTGTTTATCATATGATTCTTTGGAGGAAGTGTTTAGATTTGAGTTGTTATTGCTATAGGAAATAAATCTAACTATCAAGTGTCAAATATTTTTGGGTATCTTTTTTTCTTATATTTCTTTATACTAATCTTTTTTTTTTCTGGAGAGATTTGGGTATAGGGTGTCTGTGCTCACCAGAGAGACAGAGACAGACAGAGACATAAAGTGAGAAGTCACCCCCAAGTGCGATGGCCATATTGCAATCCCTTTTCCTTTTGGGATTTTTGGTCATTCAGGAACACACTCCCAGCATGAGTTTTAAGCTGGTGGATCCAGGACTCAAATCACAGTTGACTACATGGGAGTCCAGAAATGTAACCATTATGTCACCTGCTGGTCCCTATACTAATCTCTTAATTATGTATTTCCATATTCTTCTTAAGATTTTTCCTCTGGACATGACCTCTGAGTTGGATTTAACATGTAGATATTACTTACTTCCAGTAGTTGATTAACAATTATCTAGCTCCATTCTCATTAAGTATTTTGGTCATACACAAAGCCTTAAGTTTTATTTTTAATGCTAATACTGTAATGGATTTGAAATTTTATGATCTTATGTCTTTGTTCTTTATAAGTAATTTATGGGACTAACAGTTGGTGTAGTGGTTAAGGTGCTAGATTCCCACAGTTTACCATGGTTTGAGTCCCAGATCTGGTGGCTTGAAGTTCATCCCAGGCGTGCGTGTGTGTGTTTGTGTGTCTTTTCGAAATCCTGAGAGGAGAATGGAGGGGAAGGGATTATGGTATGGCCATCCCCCTCAGGGAGTGATTTCTCACTTTTTGCTACTCTGTCTCTCTCTGGCAAGTGCATACACCCTGTAGCAAAAATCTCTTAAAATAAATAAATAAGCAACCTATTCTTTGTATTAGATTGCTTGATTATTCTCCTAATTTCCCTAAAGTGACTGTTGAGGACATGCCTCTGAAAATATAAAATGCACTGGAAAGATTATGTGGAAGATATTAATTCTTTGGGGTATGATTCCTCAGTGAATTTAACTTGGAATGACCTTGGGGACAAATAATTTAAACAACTTGGAAAAGCAATTTGTTTTTTACTGTTGATTAAGTGCACAGTCATATATTCCTTTATCTGGGAAAAGATTTTTCCTTAGGCATTCATGTTACTGCCAAGATGTAAAATGAAAGCCATTACCTTACTAAACATGAACTATATTAAAACATTCTATGAATACTTTAAAAATATCTTTAAAAAGCTCATCCTGGATTATCCAGCACTGTGCACTATTAACTAAAAATGCTATACAACCTTTGTTTAATTAATCTGGTCAGTAAAAATAATAGTGAAGTTTTATATTTATTTGATTCTTGATACATATTCTTAATAACAGGTTTCTATTTTGGTGATTCATCATTTATATTAATTGTTTATTCTTGAATTCAACTCTGAATAATTCTATGATCTAAACTATAAAATGTTTATAAAAATTGGAAAGGAGGGTAATTTCATGCATGCAAAAGAGAAACATCCCTATGTGATAAGGCAATTAAAACTTCAGTGAGTTAATGTCCCCTCATCTTTCTTTACAATTACAACATGGATTGATGTGGAGAAAATACTGACTTGATTTCATCAAAGGAAGTCATCTTCTAGTACCAAAGATACAACTGAAGAACACAAGATTTGGAACAAGTGAGTATACAGGAAATAGAAAACCCAGGTAACATATTTATAAAACTCTCAACTACTATTATAATAGGAGAAAATAGACTTACCTGGAATAAGTTAGGTATCTTTTTTTAGAAAGCAGGTTTTATTATTTGATTTGAAATATTTTACACCAGAACCTCTAAGAATAACATGGCACATAGATTTTATATATTTTGCAGAATAATACTAGAATAAGTATAATGATTATAATTTTCTCCAAATTTTTATTAGAGTTTAGGATTTCATATTCAAATAGATATAGCACAGCATAAAAATATATGAACATATGCATGGTTCACAATAAATATTTTTAGATTGCTTTATATAATTTAGAATGTATATAATTACTATTGCTTTCTATAAATTTTATTTTGCGTATGCATTTTGAAATATTCTCACTTTGTGTGGATGTTCTATTTCTGTGGTATTTTTTTCCTGTGGTAAAATATACATATTTCTCTTGTGGTTAAATATACAAAGCATATTATCTTCTCTTTCCATGACCTTTTCATCACTCCATACTGAAACTCTACAACTGTTCAATACTAAAATGCCCATTCTTCACTCCCTCTAGCTCCTTGTAATTACTACTGTACTTTCTGTTTCTATAAATGTACCTATCCAAGATAGCTCATGAGATCAAAGCACATTTGAATTTTTGTCTGGTCTATTTCATAATTCAGTATAATGTCTTCAAGGTTCATCCATTCTTTTAATGCTAAATATTATTCTATTTTATGTAATACTACCACTACTTATCCATTAATTAGATCATGGATATTTTGGTTATTTCAATATTTTTGGCTATTGTGAATAATGCTGCTATAAACTTTGACATACAAATATTTTTCTACTCTCTGCTTTCTGTTGTTTTGTGTGTATGCCCAAAATAACATTTGATATGTAAACAAATAGTCTCTTATTACAAAATGTGAAAACTTTTGTCCAGAGAAATTTAGTTACTTAATGGATTCATAGAGCTACATTTATTAGAAAGGATATTTTACCATCATGCAAGTGAAGTTATGAATTTGGTTAGTCACAAAATCCACAGAATCTTAAAGAAAATGTCAACATCCATTTCTATCTTTAAGTCAATTATCTGGAAATATTCTCATTTTTAGCAACTTAAAATATAGTAATGAACCTCATTTGTAGATTACTTCACAAATATATTTATTTTCCAGTTAGAATTATGGTTTCATCATGGTAGCTGGAGGAAGAAATTTGTACAAAGGAATGAAGTAACTATAGGAAGGAAGCCTTAGCACTCATTTATTAAGAGTTACTCTGTATGAAATTGTATGTAGGAAGCGCTGTTGAGCAAGAGATTATATTTTTGACATAGATCTCATGAACATCTCATTTACTATCAGTGCTTTCATTTGCAGGCTTCAGCTCCTGAGCTCAAGGCCTCAGAAGAACACATGGAAACAAGGAACAATGTGACTGAGTTCATCCTCCTGGGGCTCACGCAGAACCCTGAGGGGCAAAAAGTCTTATTTGTCTTATTCTTACTCATCTATATTGTGACTATTGTGGGTAATCTGCTTATTGTGGTGACAATTGTGGCCAGCCAATCTCTGGGTTCTCCCATGTACTTTTTTCTGGCTTTTTTGTCACTCATAGATACTGTCTATTCTACTGCCATTGCTCCCAAAATGATCAGAGACTTATTGTATGAGAAAAAGACCATTTCCTTCCAGGCTTGTATGACTCAGATTTTTATAGATCATTTCTTTGCTGGTGCAGAAGTCATTCTTCTAGCAGCAATGGCCTACGACCGATATGTGGCCATCTGTAAACCTCTCCATTATTTGATTATCATGAATCACCGTGTATGTGTTCTCATGCTTTTGATGGCCTGGATTGGAGGCTTTCTTCATTCATTAATTCAATTTCTCTTTATTTATCAGCTCCCATTCTGTGGTCCCAATATCATTGACAACTTCTTGTGTGATGTGTATCCCTTATTGAAACTTGCTTGTACCAATACCTACGTCATTGGGCTTTCTATGATTGCTAACGGAGGGGCAATATGCACAGTCGTCTTCTTCATTCTCCTAGTTTCCTATGGGATCATATTATACTCTCTTAAGACTCGTAGTTTGGAAGGGAAACGTAAAGCTCTTTACACCTGTGCATCCCACATCACTGTGGTCATTCTATTCTTTGTCCCCTGTATCTTTCTGTTTGCAAGACCAACTTCCACTTTTCCCATCGATAAAACCATGACTGTGGTGTTAACTTTCATCACTCCCATGTTGAACCCCTTGATCTACACTCTGAGGAATGCAGAAATGAAAAGTGCCTTGAGGAAACTTTGGCGTAAAATGTGACCTTAGCTGGAAGAGGGCTGTATCTCTCATGCAGAACATGATATTTACTCTTTCACAGAAGCAAACAATAGTTTTGCTATCAGTGATTACATTTGTATTATTATTCTGCTTTGGTTTATTAATTATGAAATAGCCATGTAAATTAATCTTTAGCTAAGTGGAATGAACATATTTTATCTCCTAGCAACCAAGAGAATTGCACAGGCTTAATACCTTGTATATGGTATTATGTTATGCTGTGTTAAGACTTTTTTGGTGAACAATGATTTTTGGTTTCACTTCAAGCTCATGTTTGTGGGCTACCGGCCTTCACTAGCACATAAAAATGTGACCTAATAGGACTCGTTCCCTTCATTCTAATAGATTGATGGTCTAAACTTTAAAGTTCAGACCATTAAAACTGTTAATATTGTAAGAATACAAGACTTGGTCAAATTAATTAATTTAAAGTTTTATAGCATAGTACAGACACTAAATACATTTATAGTGTGTGTGTATACACATAATATACATACACAATCAAATATATAGCATAGCATAAAAATTTATATATGGCATAAAAGTGGATAAATCCATGAGAAATGAACTTTGTTAAGTTTATACCATCATGGAGTTAAGATATCCAAGTGGCATGTGGTTGATTTTGTATATTCTGACCAATTTGGGGAAAGAAAAATTATTCATGCACATTCTTATTATATCTAGATCAATCAGTATTTTACTTGGAGTTATCTCAACATATACTGACTTTTCTCCCACAGTTGAAATAGATATTTAAGACACTCATATAATTTTAGTCACCAAGTCTACCTACATTAAAATAAATTCCCTGGGTATATGTATTCAAAAAGATAATTAAAGTTAAATATTTTTTAAACAGATTGTTTTGTTTTACACAATGAATGTCTTTCATATTCTCTGTGAACTCTACATTCTCATTGACTTAAGTGATAAGTCAAAAGTATCATCTCAGTTTATAATACCTATATAGTAGTTCAGAGATCTAATGCTATATTATAGAGATAATTTTAGAAAAGACTGGCATTATATATTGCTTTGTTGAAAATTCTACTCATGCCATATGACCTAAGGAAAAAAAGGATATTTTCTTCTTTATTCTTCTATCAATTATATTAGATTTACTTAGATACCTAGCAAAATTAATGCATCCATGTAATGAATTAAAGCCAGACATAAAATTTTACTTAGCAAAAGTATTCAATTATTTATTTATTTATTTTTTTCATTGTTGCTATTGGATGTGTGCTCATCAGAGAGAGGGAGAGAGAGGGAGTGTGGAAAATCATCTCCCAGGGAGATGTCCATGCCACAATCCCCTTTCCACCATTCTTTTCCTGAGATTTTGGGCACAGGAGTGATTTGGGACTCACCATGATTATCAAACCACCAGGCCCAGGACTGGAATTGCATAGTTGGCCATATGGATTTAGCTGCCTAACCTCCAGCCACTGACTGGCTCCTCTAAATCTTTCAATAAGAAATCCAGTACAGAAATTAGAAACTTCATAATTATTAATATTGGAAAATATGGCATCTGGATACTATAGAGAATAGAGATGAAATCAAAGATTCATCTCCCAAGCCATGATATAGCTATGAGGAACCTGTACTCAGGACTTCTTTCCAGATTAACTTCTCAGGAATAACTTCAATTTATATTGGTTTTGCATTTTCAGGTATGCTGTGAGGGGGAAATGCACTTTACTTCCTTATCATAAAAATAACTAAAACTTCTTTGAGAGAGAGGTTTTGCTATAGGACATGTATACTTGCCAAAGAAATATATAGAGAGAAAGTGAGAAACCACCCCTCTGGAGATGGCCAAGCCAAAATCCCTTCTCCTCCAGTCTCCTCTTGAGATTTTAGTTGCACACACACATACATGCCCAGTGAGAGTTTCAAGCCTCTTGGTTTGGGACTTCAACTGAGGTTGGCCATTTAAGAGTCCAGCAATGTAACCCATATGCCCTCTGCTGGTCCCAAAAGTAACTAAAATTTCTTAGTACATTTCTTCACTTGTACATTTCTTCCATTCTCCACCTATCTGCAATACAATTATTTTCATATATAAAATACCTATATATCAATTATGCTATTTCCTAGTTATCTATTTTGTTCTAGTAGTCTTGTCTATTCATGAACCAACACCAGAGGATCTAAATCACTGTAGTGTTTTAGATACTATTGTTGTGTAATAAATCACCCCCAAAATTTAGTGGCTTAAATTACCAACGATTACTTTATTATTATTTCAGATGGTTTCTAAGAGTTAGACATTTATGAAGATCTTGGCTGGAAAATTCTGGCTCAGGTGTCTCATGAGGTTACAGTAAAAAAATTGGCTAAAGCTGTCATATATAAAGTTTGTCTGGCTCAGTTAGTGTCATGGTGGCTAAGGTAGTAGGATCCTACATGATTGACTGCTGATCTGGCAGCTTGAAAAACATGCCAAATGTGAGTACATATGTGCTCAAAGTCCTGAAAGAAGAAATAGAGAAGGGATTGTGTAGTAGCTATCCCCCATGTGCAGAGGGTTGGGGGTGCTTTCTCACTTTCCTTCTCTCTTTCTCTAGCAAGTACATGTGCTGTAACAAAATAAATAAATAAATAAATTCTCTCTAATTACATGTCTGATATGTAGGCTTGAAAGTTTTGAACAGTGGGTACTAAAATAGCTGGTACTCCTTAAGCATTTCCCCTTATTTTTATGTGGTCTCTCCATATAGTCTTTCAAAAATGCTGCTTTCAGGGTAATTGGACTTTCACTGGTGGCTCAGCCCTCTAAAAGACACATGTTCCAAGAGAGTGAGCCAAGTAGAAACTGTATATTTTTACCTCAACCTGAAAAGACATATAAAATCATTTATGTGTTATTACTTTGTTCAGACAGTCATAAAGTCCCTCCCATGTTCAAATAGAGAATATAGACTTCACCCATGGATGAGAAAATGGCAATGTTCTCGAAGAGCATATACAAAAGGATATACTCGTAAAATAAAGTCTGCTCCGTTTATGTACCACATATCCTCCCACAAGCATAATTCACTCGCCTTTTTTTATAGGCTCATTTTGCAAGTCTCATCCTGATGTAGCAGCAGTTCAGGCTCAAGGTCCAGGATCTCAGCATCTAAATAAAATCCAGCTGTGAGTGAAGCTCCTGTGTCTTGGTTCCTTGGATACAACTCCTGGAAAGTTTTCCTTTACATTGGGAGACTTAGGAACGAAAGATACAAGTTTCCTGCCTCTTCATTCTCCACCCTACCAATATACAATGGTGTGACAAGCATGGGATTGACAATTCCTGTAGATACATATATTCAAACAAGAGAGAAACAGGGTGTTCATAGCAGTGACTGTTCCAAATCCATCCAAGTATATGTTGTTTCAATTTCTTATTATTTCTCAGTCCTCTCGAGGATGATTTTTTATTACTTTAGTTTTTTTTTTTTTTTCACCTTTAGGCTTTTGATTTCATCTTCTCAGCTGTTTGTTCTTTCCCATAATATGTAGCTTGAATTTATGTTGGTGGTTTTCTCAGCCTGATCCTTACCTATAGAAATTTGGAGGTCCAAAATTCTTTAAGTTTGTATGTTTTTATTTGAACTGATATAATTCTTGTAAAACTTTTGTAAGTTTCCCACAAATATTATTCTTTTGTTAGACAAAAGCAATATCCACAAATGTCATTGTAATGTGCTTTTCTTTTTCATGGAGTCCCTGCACAGAAGCTGTGACACAACACCTTTGAGAGTCTTACAAGTCTTACTATTTAGCAGGAGAATCAGTCAGGCATGCCCCCAATGTTTTCAAAAGTCTTTAATCTATTAAAAATGAATATGAAATACCAATTTAATTTACATAGGGTATTTGCTTGCTGGAGAGAGACAAAGAGA